ACACCACAGGTTCCGGCCTTCTCCATCGCTCCAATAGGGAATTTCAGGAAGGGAAAATAAGTTTCCACTGCCCAGCTAAACAATGCGACAAGACCGAGTGTTTGCTCTACACAATAGAACATGATGCATGGGTTGAAATAGAAGGTCACGTAATTGAAATTGTGTGTGTTGCCGGGTGGGGAGGAGACAGAGTATGTACTGTGTGGGTGCACAAGAGTTTTGATTTAGCAGATCCACCATTCTGGTGCAGTAAACCACGATCGTGTCAGGAGATACCAGCCTACACTGGCTCCAGCAACTGGAGGGAGGGATGCAAAAGAACTTGCCAGCCTGTCCGAGAGACACAGCCTAAAACAGCACAACCTGAAATAATTTACGGGGCCGTTAAACCACAGGCCCTGACCTCCCTGCCAGAACAGCCCCCCACTAAAGCAACTTGGGGGCAAGGGTTGATCTCTTTCAAATGTACTCCACTCCTCCGCTCTCTTCACTGGCTACCGGTGGCCGCCCGCATCCAGTTCAAAACATTGGTGCTCACGTACCATGCTGTGAATGGATCGGGTCCAGCTTACATCCAGGACATGGTCAAACCCTACATCCCAACCCGCACTCTCCGCTCTGCATCTGCAAAACTACTCGTCCCTCCCTCACTGAGAGCAAAACACTCGACTAGGTCTCGACTCTTGAAATGGTGGAACGAGCTCTCTGAAGACATCAGGACCGCAGAGAGCCTTCACATCTTCCGCCGCAAACTAAAGACACACCTCTTCAGACTCTACCTCGACTAAAGACTAACAAATTGTAGCACTTAAATTGTACTTGTAACGTCACTCATCTATAGCAAATTGTAAATTGGCTTATTTGAGGAAATTGCACTTTCTTGTTTCTTGTTCTCCTGAGTTTGTACCCTATGGTTGAATGCACTTATTGTACGTCGCTTTGGATAAAAGCGTCAGCTAAATGACATGTAATGTAATGTCCGAGAGGGGTGTGTGGGGAGGAGGGTTGTAAAGCTTACATGTTACGGCTGACCACGCCGCACTTAGGTCACTGGTCAGTCCTGGACTCGGAGGACGTTAGAACTCAGTGTCAGACAAATGATACTTGTACGGTGTCTGTAAGTCCTAAATATGATGCAAGTTGGGAATACCCGTTCTAGTGCTCTCCACCTGAAGGTTGTACGACGGAGCCAGCCCATTTCACTCGGCTAGATTGGCAGTATGCATGCAAAGTAAGCCTACAGTTAAGAAACCTTCCAAACCGAACACCACCGTACGAGCATGATAATATTGCGTTGACTATTATGAATGAGTTTGCTAATGAAAGGAATGTCTCTAATTGTTGGGTATGTCAGCATATGCCCATTTCATCTAGAGCACCTATGTTGGTTCCTGTTCCATTCACGGAAGCCGACTGGGCTGTCATGGGGTGGCCGGAGCTATCTCATCGATTTGTGAGTAATGATGAAGACTGTTACACTCCTCCATCGCATACGGCGACAAGAGCGCAAAGCACAACTGCCTATGAGGGTGAAAAGGGGAAAGTTGTGCGTTTTGCAGTTAAGCAATTTAATCTTGAGAAAAGGCCCGTAGGTATTAATCAAGTGATGTTGTTTAGATTAACCTATTACAAAAGATACGTTCAACAAGGGTTAAGATATCAAGTGCAAATGACTCTCGGTGAGACTAATTGTACGGCGGAGAATGAATTGTTAAAAACTGCATGTACTCTCATACCAAATACAGCATCTATTCGATTGGAGATGGGTATACAGAGCATCCCCTGGGCAAATGATTTTAAAGTCACACATTCAACTTGGAGTAGACAGAATTGTACTAAACCTTTAATCCCAACTAGACCTCCAAATAGAGATTGCACTAACCCAGCACCTCCCATTCCGGTCCATCCCTTAACCAACGTCAGCCGCTGTGTTAACTTCTATGCTCTGGATGGATTTCATTTAGGTACGAGTGACTGTAGTAATGATATTATCAGCTTTACCACTGAGTCTAAGGACCTCGCATTACCGGGAAAGGTGTATTTAGTTTGTGGCAACATCGCTTACAGCTGTGTTCCGGTCGTAGGGAACCTTCGTAAAAGGTCAGTTACTGGGAAATGCTATTTAGCATATCTTATACCCCTAATCAGACAAGCTGACTCCAAGGAACTTGCGCCATTCCATGTATGTCATAAACGCGCCATTTCACTAGGTTCAAGGATTTTGAGCATACTAATACCGTCCTATGGCACCTACAGGAGCCAAGAGGAAATAAGGGCACTCTCAACAGTACTGGAAAGACACATGAATAAGACTTCAATAGCACTTTCCGAAATGCAAAGGGAAGTAAATGACGTCAAACACATGGTACTACAAAATAGGATGGCTCTGGACCTCGTTCTGGCCTCACAAGGCGGGGTATGCAAGATAATCAACACTGAATGTTGCGCTTACATCTCCGATGCAACATCATCAGTTTATGATGTGGTGGCAGACACAGAGCAAGGCATTAAGGAATTGCATGAGGACCACGGCTGGAATCCTTTTGGGGAAATGCAGGCATGGGTTGGATCATGGGGAACTTCTCTTCTCAAAGGACTGCTGTGGATGTTGGGGGGTATCTTTTTGTCTGTAATTATCATAACCCTACTTGTAACTGTTCTTAAGATCTGTGTAAGGAAGGTTGTTAGTACACATGTATCAGTTGAACACACAAGTACTACTATACAGTGTCCGGTTCAGGAATGGACTCCACCATATCCGGATAGCTCTGACAGTGATGATGAGTGTGAGGCTTGTGTGTAACAGCATGTGTTGATGTTTAGCAAGAGTTTTCAAAGTACTTAGAAGTTAATGATGTGATGTTCTGAATCTTCATGAATTTACACCACTGATGTATGTTCTAAGAGTTTTTTTGTTGTTTAATTTTCTTTCTTGATTTCGATTTGGTTGTGTTTAGAGTTTCTTAAGTTGATTCCTGATTGTCAAAAAATGACAAAAAGAGAGGGATGTTGGGGGAGAATTGTTGAGCCCGCATAGGGTGAGGCTCTCAGGAATGTTATCTTTGATGGGAGCCGGTGACTTAAGGCAGTCCAGGGAGAGATAAGACACGGATGAAAACATGCGTGCCCTGACTGACCTTTTAGATGTTGTTGATTGTCTAAGACCATAAAGGGAGGGTCACAGAGTCACCCCTACATCATCTGTTACTTTTCCCACATTCCTTTTGAGGGGTGGGTTGTCCTGTCCTGAGACAGCACAAACCCCCCTAAGTGTATAAAACCTCCTGTTCTCCTCTTTGACTTGATCAGATCTTCCTGCTCCTTTTGGGGGAAGGAACCTCTGTCCCTTTTCAGCTGAATTGTAGTCATTTGACTTCTGTCTGTACTTACGGCTTGTGTTGATGATTTCTGTATTCTTATGATTTTTCCTATATTCTAGTTAGTAAAATACTTAATCATAAGCGAGTCTCTGATACTTTTGATTTCTCACAAGGGCTGAATCCCCAAATTTCCACCACACTTTCCACCATTGCAGCGTTTGGGAGCGACTCATTAGAATGGTCAGGAAACTAATGTTTTCTGTGCATCAAACATAATGACCTCCCCGTAACTAAGGTTTCTGATGACGTCAATGACTTGGAAGCTGTCACTCAGTGCCTCTAGTTCAGTACCTGTCAGACCGGTTCTGGAAACAATGGACGAGGAAGTACTTGCCGCTACTGCAGGTAAGACAAAGGTGGACAAAGCCGCAAAGAAGTATGGTATCATAGGACATTGTCATTGTCATGGATCCAACTGCTCCTCGTGAGTTATGGAAATAAATACCAAGACAGGACAGTTGGAGCGGCCTATATCAAAGAATGTTCTGCTGCAAGAAGCAGTGTAAAGGTCAGGACCAAACCTTGGGTCACGTGTTGGTAACACCTGACGAAGAAAGAGGGACATTTTATTTTTAATTTGTTTATTTTTTGATTAATATAATTGTGCATACTTTTCCCAATTAGGGGCCGGTGTGCAGGAGCCATATGTGATATTTGTGTACAACATGGTACTGGGAGCCAATCTCAGTTGATACAGGTGCAATTGATACAGGTAATGATGCTATCAATAACGCACAGCGAGGAACCAAATGTATATGCATGAAAATCTGTCACTACACTATTTTAGTTTCTATCGGTATCAGGTGGATGAATAGAATCCAAGAAGATTAGATTATTATTTAAAATGATCAGCACAGTAAAATGTCTGAGTGTTTTGAATAATGTTTCACAATCTTCATGTCCTCTGTGTCTGAATTCATATTCATGAGTTTTTATTTCAGCACTGGTCACTAAAATGTTAATACATCAAATACTGCAGAGAGATGCTGGACGTTTGAGGTTGATTCTGATTAATATAGTCTGAATATTAAATATTTCAGCTGATAGTATTTTTAATATAAACATGAACTAAACTCACTGGATTCAGATTGATAAATTGTTGTTTTTAGTAAACGAGATACAAACTAAGAGTTTAAAATCAACTTTTGCTCTTCCGGTTTATTAATGAGCTCAGACTGAGTTTGACATTTCTTCACTTGTCTTTCTTCTCACTCATCAGACAACATGTAAACACCAATAAATCTGCAATAAGATAATATCTACAAGTAATATTGATGACTGATTCATCAGCATCAGTGTGACGTCATCAGTGATCTGCCGCGCTACGTCATGCTGCCATGTCCGCTTCAAGAGCGATCCGTCCGTTTAATGTCCCGAAGACAGAGACAGCAGAGTGAGACAAACACGCTTCTGTCCTTCACACAAACTCACGAGAGGAAACACGCGCGCACTTTGACAACATGTGTTACTTTTTACAACTTTGTCTGTCGTCATCGAGAGAGTCCTGAGCTAAACATCAGAGACATCAGAGACACTTCAGCTGATGTCTGCAGCCTATGAAGACACGAAGCGTCTCTTCTTCTACAATCAAACACCTCATTAAACAAAGCGTCAACTCACGTGCTGCAGCGCCGTGAAGGCTCATCATCAGGAGAGACAGAACCGAGATCTCCGCCCCGACAAGTCGCATTTTAACTTCCGCTTGTTTTACCGGGAAGGAGAAAAGTAGTGATGAGATGTGCCGACGCTTCGCAGCTTGTGTCGAGTAAACTCCGCGAAGCGCGTATCGAGGTTCGCTTCATTTAGGGGAGGAGCCAAAAATAATGACGTCAGAAGCCTTTTAGCCCGGCTGTACCACGTGACTGCTTCGGTAAATGGTTCAGATTTTGCCGGGAGGTTTGACAGCAATATAAACCGTTCAGGCTCCATTCAAAATGTGGGTTGTTGCTGGAGATTTACGGTCAGTTGAGAGTTTGGATAGTTTGGACAGCTTTTATGTAGTTTGGAGAAGTTAGAGAGAAATTTGTTAGTTTGGAGAAGTTAGAGAGGGCGAGAGATAGTTTGGAGACTGAGGAGAGAAGGATAGGTGATAAGATGGCCAGCTAGGGAGAGGAGGAACCTTGTGTTGTTTTTGACCCTGCCCCTCCTCCCCGAAGTTTTTCATTAAAAGATCATTCTTTTGTTATCTGACAAGTGTGTCTGTTCCTGCAATCTCGCCTCCACATCCCCCGGTTTGCCACATTTGGTGGAGGATGCGAGCAGTGTTGCCAAAGACTCAAATTAGGTAGACGGAGAAAAACACGCAGCGCAATGGACAACTCGTAGACACTCAAACCCAGCAGCCCCAGAGCCTCAGAGCATTACAGGACTTCATGGGGCAGCATCTGATGAGACCAGAGAACCTAACAGAACCAAGCAAACTGGAGAAGATTTGAGAGAACTGCGGGGAGGGAGCGGTGGCCTAGAGCCCAGTGGGGAAGCGCAAAAAGCTTGCTGCGACCCCCCCCCCCCGACGTGAATAATTCCGAGGCATTAAAAGCAGCCATTCTAGCCCACTATGGTCACAACCCCCAGACAAGGGCCCAACAGTTTCACGCTTGGTCCTATGATGCTACGGCCCCAGTGCGGCCACAGGTTGCCACTCTCATGCGCCTAACCTGCAGCTGGTTAACTAAGGGGGATGGGGCCCCCTGCCCTGGACATAGTTGTCATGGACCGCTGTGTCCGTGCGTTACCAGGAGATGCAAAGCTGCATGCCTCCTAAAGCAGCCCAAAGACTGTGGATGACCTAGTGGAGGTACTGGAAAACCATCAGGGCACAGTGGAATTGATGCGAAGCAGCCAACCGGAGCCTTCACGACTCCACTGACCTGACCCCAGGAGAGAAAGGCCAGGGCTGAGAAAGGAGGCCTTAGAGACTCCTTACCACGGGCCGACACCCCGGGCAGAACCTCCCCGTCCAATCCTGCAACGCCGTCCCCTTGTGAATCAGGACCGCCGGAAGTGCTTCACCTGCGGTCAAGAAGGTCGTCTTTCTTGGAACTGCCTGGTAACCGATGTAATGATGCCAACGGCTGGTTCATCTGGTTAACAACAGAACGCCGACAGATACCTCACCACCTGCTGGGCCCATGAGGTTCCCAAGCCCCAAAACGCCCTGTCTCTCTCTGTCCGAATCGCAAACCAGGATACAGAAGCTCTACTGGACTCTTGGAGTGCCGTCACCCTCCTACAGCCAGAACTGACTACTGGACCCAGAGGACCCACCATCCCAGTGTCCTGCATCCATGGGGATTCACGAGAGATTATCCCACCACCCGCATTCGGGTTCAGACCACAAGGGGAACGTTCGAAGTCATAGCGGGAGTGGCAGACAACTTGCCCGTACCAGTGCTGATGGAGGTAGAGGTGAAAGATCGCAAAGAAAATTGGAAGCCCGGTTGGTGTTATTCTGCACAAATTCAGCCAAACGACTTCTCTCGTTCTGGTAGATTTATTTGTCAGATCACAGGTCAAGTATAAGTGCTGCGTTTGCACAGGCAGGAGCAGTTCTGGCAACACGCAGGCCGGAAGAACAACTGACTAACATCAGGAAGAACATTGCATTTTGTATTTCTTGTTAGATATAAAAGAAAAGATTTCTAATAGCCCTCAACTGGCGTCGAGGAGGAGCGGTTCCTCTCGCCACAACACAAGATCCAATCACATGCAATGTGTAGTCTTCTAACATAATGTGAACATAACGAACAAAGCGTGAGTGTTGTATGGTGCTCGGTGTGTCGCTAAATGTCATCCTTATCAGCCCTGGGTCTGTGTTACGTTCGTACAGCACCCCGTGAGGGGAGGGGAACATACACCGCGCTGCCAAGAACCCCAGACGGCCAGAGACCGGGTGTGGGCGCAAGTAATCATACCAACACCGATGGGTTTGGTTTAAACAGGCTAGCACGTGCCAGTTTATTAATAATGATAATAATAATAATAAACAATGGAGGGAAATGGGAGGACGGCTGAGCTGATCCAAAACAAAGAAATTAGCAAAACCCCCCACCCCTTACCTGTCCCAACGTCCTACACAAAACACTTATTTACTCTGGCGCTCGAGCAAGGCGCCCTAACCAAAAATACAGGGGGTGGATCGCTCAGATCTAACCTGGTGTGTATAACAGGAGATATCCCTACGGGTGATGTATGCCCAGGGCGTCTTTCCTAACACTCCCAAGTGCTTTCCGTTCTCCCTGGGAAGGACACACGAAATACAAATGATTAATACTTTCAATACTCCAAAACACTCCACCATGTACAACCAATTTCACAAGAGCACCCCAAACACAACCTTACACCCGGCCTGAGAGATCTGGACTGAACAACCAGAAACACATAAATACAGCTGATGGGACGATGCGATTGGAGGATGGGAAAACAGGAACCAGCTGTAGGAGATCACGGGAGGGCGGATGAGTAATGAAGACAATTAGCTCCACCTGAGGAGGGTTATCACACACACAGAACACAGACAAGACCGGGGGTCGTAACACGCCCACCACAAAAACAGCAAACCTCCAGTTTGCGACAAAACAACCAAACGTAACCCAGTACTTAAACACGCGATAGCTGGGGGCTTCGGGGCAGGGACTGAGAGCCTCGGAACGGGAGGATCGCTGCGGCCCAGCGGGATCGCTGCGGCCCAGCGGGATCGCTGCGGCCCAGCGGGAAGGGGAGATCGCTGCTGGCCCAGCGGGAAGGGGAGATCGCTGCGGCCCAGCGCGAAGGGGAGATCGCTGCGGCCCAGCGCGAAGGGGAGATCGCTGCGGCCCAGCGGGAAGGGGAGATCGCTGCGGCCCAGCGCGAAGGGGAGATCGCTGCGGCCCAGCGCGAAGGGGAGATCGCTGCGGCCCAGCGCGAAGGGGAGATCGCTGCGGCCCAGCGCGAAGGGGAGATCGCTGCGGCCCAGCGCGAAGGGGAGATCGCTGCGGCCCAGCGCGAAGGGGAGATCGCTGCGGCCCAGCGCGAAGGGGAGATCGCTGCGGCCCAGCGCGAAGGGGAGATCGCTGCGGCCCAGCGGAAAGGGGAGATCGCTGCGGCCCAGCGGGAAGGGGAGATCGCTGCGGCCCAGCGCGAAGGGGAGATCGCTGCGGCCCAGCGCGAAGGGGAGGATCGCTGCGGCCCAGCGCGAAGGGGAGATCGCTGCGGCCCAGCGCGAAGGATCGCTGCGGCCCAGCGCGAAGGATCGCTGCGGCCCAGCGCGAAGGGGAGAGATCTCTGCGGCGACTGAGGGGACATCAACAAAACTGGAGATGGCTGAAGTAGCCATCATGTACACTATAACCGAACACACAACAAACTAAAGGTCATCCCATTCACAACCCCCACACCGTCCACCGACCGTGTGGACGAGGTACCAAATGGCTCCTCATCACCCACACCAGTCAATGGTTAGTCAGGGTCCAAGCAGCGGGGTGCACAGATCCCGGACGAGCCTGGTTGGCACTTTCTGCTTCTCCTCTGACCTTGGACTCCTCAAGACAGTGCCTCCCTAAATGAGCACCATGAAAGCGCTTTAGATTATCAATTCCCCCTTTTTACATAATTTATTATGTGAACTACTAAATCAAAAATAACTAATATAGAGGTTAAAAATCTATATCAGTTAATGTAGCGTCGTCTGCCACTTCCTGTGTGTGAGTGTTGGTACTTTTATTTTTAAATGTAATTAGCATCAGAGTCACGTGGGCAGGGGTGCAGTGGTTTATGAATGAGTGTAGGCATCTAGGAGTGATGGTTGTATGGACATGGGGGTGAGTCGGGAGACGATACTTTTTGTTGACCGTATTCTACAGCGCACTTTATTGCATCGTCGCACAGCATGTATCGCTTCGCCTGCTTGGATGTTTTAACTTGACCTTCGGACAATAAAATCAATCAACTTCACAGGAGGAATCTGCGTCTGTTTGGAACGAGTCCACACACCAATCTCCCGTACTTAGCCTCACGTGACTCTACTGGATTGTAGTCACCACATTTGTCAACAAAAAAGTAAATGAATAAGTAATCAGTTGCATACAACAAACGTGCAGTCTTTATCACGGATTCCTGTCGGATTACGGGGTTATGGATCCGAAGAAGAAAGTTGGATTACAGATACATCGCGACAGAGATCCTTACCGAGCCAAGGATTCATCCCAACGCGAACAGCCACAGTAGGCACGCAAAATCCCCACTCTCATTCATGCTGCGTTTGGAAAGTTTTGATGGTTTGCGGGTGTCCATATTGGGGATCGCCGTCTATGCCGGTGACGTTCGCCTACATCGACTGTCGAACTGTTTGGCTTGGCCGTGGTGTAAGAATACGTGTTCAAGATTTGGAGCCTGGTCGGGGTTATCAAAAATTCATAACTTCTCTCGTTCTGGGAAATTTGTCAGATCACAGGTCAAGTATCAGCGTTGCGTTTGCAAAGGCAGGAGCAGTTCAGGCAGCACACAGGCCGGAAGAACAACTAACTAACATCAGCAAGAACATCATGTTTTATAACCCTTGAAAGACAGAGAAGGAAAGATTTCGATTGGCCCTAAACTGGCGTAGAGGAGGACCTTCCACCCCCCGCATCTAAGATCCGGTCACATCCAATGTCCAGACTCCTGACTTAACGTAAACATCATAAACAGAGTGTGTATGTTGAATAGTGTTGGTGTGTCTCTAACCCCCCTTTGGCTGGTAAATCTTCTAGTTGACCCGCAGGCC